AAATTAGATTTATTTTGACTTCAGAGTACGGTCATTTTAACTTACGTTATAAACAGGGTGTTTAAGATAATGGAAGTAAGATGTTCTTTTGTTTTCCATAATAAATGTATGCCAAGGAATCCCCAGATAATAGCATTAGTTGGGCGAAGAATACAACAAACCGCTGCTAAACTTAGTGAAACGCGTAACATCCTGCATTATATAAATATATATAAATTATGATTTAGTAATTATGATTAACATACGCGATCATGATTGCCTCATAGGTAATTACTTTATTCGGTCATTCCAACTTATTAAATTTGAAAAAGTGGGCCATGGCCAATAATATAATGCTATAATGGTAAGTACCGTTTCAATACTATTAGATAACGTTCTTATTGAACAAAAGAAATTGAACCAAGAAATAATAGAACAAAATAGCTAATAAAAAAATTACGCGTTATGTTGATAGGGTAATATAATAGAATTTAGGATGGATGATTTAATATTAGGTAGGTAAATAAGGATACAGTCCAATTTGCTGTTGGATCGTTAAATAATTTCCTCGCTAATCGATAAGTATATAAATCTCCAATGGCTGCAAATATTGCTTGAAAAATCCTTGGAGCATATATCTAGTTATAAATGCAATTTATAAGTATATATATTCCTCGAGTTGTATCATTTGAATATCAAGGAATTCAATTTATGTATGGTGATATTACAAGTATATATCCTTTGTCGAGACCGAAAAATGCCAAACTTTCATAAAGTATTGCGAATAATAGAGGGTGAGCAATACTTCTAACCTTTTCTTTCCATTCCCAAGTCAAATATCCATACGTAAGATTTTTTATTAAGAAATAATATAATTATTACAAAACAAGAATTAAAGAAATTTAGAACAATTTAGGATATCCAAAAACCATATAATGACCAACTTCAACTGATTGCCAATATTCATCAGGATTGAAATATGTCTTTGTACATAAAGCATTTATTATCCTGAATAAAATCAATAAACTTAATAACAAATTTTGATTAGTAAATGATTTTAATGACTCCTTTTCTTCAAAATTCTCATTCTTTTCACATGATTTTAATGATTTCTTTTCGTTGGTATTATTAGGATTTTTACGTCGTTGTAATTTATTCATGTTTCATGTTTAAGCAGTTTAAGCATTAACCTTTACGATGATCATCCAATTATATTCAACCAAATTCTAGATTGAAAATTTTCGATTTCAATAAAAACCTTAATTTTTTGAGACTTGAAATTTGAAAATTTTTTTTTTAAAAACATTTAAAAGATGGCTTCAGCTATATTTGCGTTAGATCTTAAAGGAAAAGTTCTTATATCGCGAAATTATCGTGGTGATATACCCATGTCTGCTGTTGAGAAATTTATGCCACTTGTGCTAGAAGCTGAAGAAGAACAAGCTGCACCAACTCCTTGCTTTACGCATGAAGGCGTAAATTACCTATATATACGACATAATAATTTGTACTGTATCCTTTATCGTAAAAAATTCAATATATTCAGATCTGTTTTAAGACACATTCTTATATTTCATAAGGGTTGAATTGGAACCTTTTTCTGGATGTGAATCCTAATAACGAAACAATTTACTAATTCAATCCAAAATCATATGAATAATGAATTTCTTAACAAATGAATGAACGAATAATGAATATTTGTGTATTCAGACATGATTATAATAATATTTATTTTATTTATTTTCCTTCACAAAATTTCATATCTTTTATTCTGAACAGTGTTGGCTTTAACAAAGAAGAATTCAAATGCTACAACTATTCTTTTATTCCTTCATAAATTGACGGAGGTAAATCATCAGATAATTCTCATTAAACATTTTTTTTTTCATTTATGTTTAATTTTTTTTTAATAATTATAATAGGTTTTTACAGAATATTTTAAGGAACTTGAAGAAGAATCAATTAGGGATAATTTTGTAATTATTTATGAACTTTTGGATGAAATGATGGACTTTGGATATCCACAAACAACCGAAACAAAAATATTACAAGAGTAAGCAATAATTTTTTTTAAAAAAGAGGAATAAACAAGAGACTAATAGAGTTTGGTTGATTTATAAAAGGTATATAACCCAAGAATCACATAAATTAGAAATTCAAGTGAGACCACCAATGGCGGTTACAAATGCAGTATCATGGAGATCAGAAGGAATAAAATATAAGAAAAATGAAGTATTTTTAGATGTAATTGAATCAGTAAATTTATTAGTGAATGCAAATGGAAATGTATTACGTAGTGAAATACTTGGAGTGATTAAGATGAAATGTTATTTAAGTGGCATGCCAGAATTAAGATTAGGATTAAATGATAAAGTTATGTTTGAAAGTACCGGGCGTTCTGCTTCAAGGGGAAAAGCTATTGAAATGGAAGATGTTAAATTTCATCAATGTGTTAGATTATCCAGATTTGAAAATGATCGTACTATTTCTTTTATACCACCGGATGGTGAATTTGAATTAATGAGTTATCGCTTGAACACGCAGGTAATGTTAAAAGTTTTCTAAAAAAAAAAATAAAAAAAAACTTTGAAGAACGTAACTAATGTGATATTTTATCGATTAGGTTAAGCCCTTGATTTGGGTTGAAGCCCTTGTAGAAAGTTATACTGGTTCTAGAATAGAATATATGATTAAAGCCAAGGCTCAATTTAAAAGACGTTCTACAGCTAATAATGTTGAAATACATGTTCCTGTTCCCGATGACGCCGATTCTCCGAAATTTAGAGTGAGTATATTTATTAAATTTATTAATTTAAATTATTATTAAAACTTTTTTCTTTAAATTATTATATATAGAGTAGTATTGGATCAGTTCATTACGCTCCAGAAAAATCATGCCTTGTATGGAAAATTAAACAGTTTCAGGGTGGAAAAGAATTTTTAATGAGAGCGCATTTCGGGTTACCTTCCGTTAAAAATGGTAAATATAAGACTTTACATTAAAAAGTATTATCTTAAATGACTTACATTCACAAATATTTGAATTTATTAAAAAAAAAAAAAAAAAAATGTAATAGTCGATGATCCCGACAAAAAACCTCCTATTGGAGTAAAATTTGAAATACCATATTTTACAACTTCAGGTATTCAAGTACGCTATTTAAAAATTGTTGAAAAAAGTGGTTACCAAGCTTTACCTTGGGTTAGATATATCACACAAAACGGAGGTAAAAATATAATCGACCATTTTGTTTTTTATTGTATTTAAATTCATACTAATTTTAAAAATATTTATTATAGATTATCAATTACGATTACCAGAAAGTATTAAAAATAATAAAATGACTCCTATTTAAAAGGGAATTAAGTTTTAGAGGGGTAATAGGGGTAATTTAATTTTTTTGGAGATTTGATATTAGGGATGAGAATCTTAATTCATAGAGAATTTTATTAATGTAAAGTAATTTTATTTATTGATAAATCACGATTCTATTTTTTTTCAATTGCCGAAGTGCTCTAACATAATGAAATCCAACATCTAATAAAGATTATTTGTTATAAATTGTTCGTGTAACAATCGCTTCATCATGTGACCATAGGCGCGTAAAACGTCAGACTATAGCATTTATGTAAAATTTTTTTCATCCATAAAATAAAGCGAATTATCGCAACTTTGTTTCCAAGAACTTGCTGCTACCAGAAGTTACTTGATTTTAGGTTCCAAAATTAAAAGAGCCATTATTCATAGTATCATTTTATGAATTTTTGTAATTTGTGAAATTTTATGACTAGATTGACCAGCACTATACTCGATCACTACTAATTATAGGCAGTGACAAGTTCCGGGACATTGGAATCATCAAATTGCTTGGGACATAGAACTGACTATTAGTCTTTATAATGCGTATATTAGACGTCTCGTGGAAGGTACTGTTACTTTGATTCTACACATGACAATTCAAAGAACTACAAAAAAAAAGGTTTACGTTTGTGAAATCTCGTTCAGTCTGGTATGGATGGTTATGCGCAAATTTTTATTTCAACTGGTGGAATAATTGGAATGTGTTATTCAATTTTAAGGAATCAAGAAAATACAATATATGTTCCCATCTGATGGGATCTTTAAAAAAAAAAAAGTTAACAAACAATACTTTAAACATGAAAGAAATAGTTATGGATGGTCTTTTGATATTGGTTAAAGTTATTGCTAACAACAGATTGTTAAGGCAAAGTTATCGTAATATTCAGATGCATTTTTGCAAGAGATCCTTTAAGAAATGAAATTTAAAAGTTATTGACAAAGTTTACTCAAAGCATGAGGAATGGCTATTTCTCATTTAAAGTTGCTCCAAGAGATTGTTAATGTCATATTATTGCAAAGGACGGAGACTATAAACTTATGTTGACCGTATATTCGCTTTCTAGTTGCTTTGCTTAACTGGGCGTTTATACCCTTACACATTAGTGTATTGCTCCCCTGCCGTGAAGGGAGAAAGGTATTTCGCAGTACGTTCCTTTTGAAGTTTTCCTTCCGATTTATTCGGTTACCTTTTCTTCTCAAAGGAAGTAGTGATAAAATGGTTTCCATATCAAAAATCATTTCCCATTGTTTATGGCTTTTCTTTTTCGTATTAAGAAGTTGCTTCGTGATACGCGAGGTTTAAATAATGTATAGATATTAATTTGATTTTGTTGGAAAAAAAGTTCGGTCACCCTTATTTTCTTTCTCTTTAGTCGGGTTTCCAATAATGAAACTATTGAATCGTTGAAATGGTTATGATAATAAAGATAACTTGGCTTTGAATCCATCAAATGTTAACCGATTATTGTTGTTAAAAAATAAATAAATAAATAAATCAATATTGTTTTTGTTGTTGTTTATTTATAAATGTCGACACCTCAAAAAACCACTGTATATAAAATTCCAAAACAACCAAATAATTGGGCATTCTACTGATAAGTTATATATAAGGCAACGATAACAAACTTACGATTACTTTTTCACATCTATCGAACGCTGAATGATTTCGGTTCTACTTAGTGGATCTTTTCAAATTGGACCAAAGTCAAGAGCGTTTAAACAAAAGATTATCATGGTTGGTAGTATTCATTAAAACTGGAAATTAGCCCCTTATTGATTTTAATGATGACGACTTTCATTCGACTTTAACTATATAGTTCCGTCTTCGTGGATGAAACATAAAATGACGTTTTATCATTTAGTTTTGGATAATTCGTATGTATGACTTCATGATAACCAGTTGATGTCGATCAGTGAATTATGGATACTTGAATCGAATAATATGTCATCATTTTACGAAAACTTACTTTCTATCATCTCTTATCATAAAAGAATGGGGTTTCCTATTTTAGGTCGACTTAATTTTCGTGACCACTTGGCCTTGGTAATTGGTGTGTTTGCCTTGCTTTTTGAAGGTCTACTTCGTATAATTACATATTGTTTGCCTAATTTTGTTCTGAATTTTTTTAAACGGCAAAGTCAAGAGTAAATTACTTTCTTCTCGTTCTTCCGTTTTGACGCATTATATGTTTTTCATGATACTGATAGAGTCATTAACGACTTGTGATTTTGTTATTAGGTTATTTTCGATGAGGTATCAAGACACTCGAACACCCCCCGCCAAGGTTATCCAATATTCAAAAAATTTTCAAGAAATGGTTGAGTATTGGTATTTGTCTGACTCAAAAAATTCATTTTTCATTTTTTTTTTTTTTGATCAATTGATACAATTCAATTAATTTGACTTGTCAAATTGAAACATCATAGGGGATATACTATGGAAGAACATATTGTAAAGACTCAAGACAATTATATCCTCGGTATTCATCGTATACCGACGGGAAAACCTCATGATAATGAAACATCAGCAGAATCAAATATCAAATCTATTTTCAATGATTGTGGGATTTCTCTATCGACCATTCGAACAAATTATTCGCGTTCTTCAAAAGAGATAAAACCGGTGGTATTATTGTATCATGGACTTATGATGTGTAGTGAGGTATGGATCTGTAATTTGGAAGAAGAAAGACAATTACCTTTTCTATTAGCTGATGCTGGGTATGTACTGTTTATATCCAGAAGTACTTTTTTTTTTTTTGAAGAAATCTTACGATGAATTATGCACTTACATGTCATTCTAAATATAATTTCTTTTTTTTTTTTCAGTTATGATGTTTGGCTTGGAAACGCTCGTGGTAATAAGTATTCTATGAAACATGTCAAGTATAAACCAAGCGAAAGTCGATTCTGGGAATTTTCCATAGATGAATTTGCTCTCTACGATTTACCGGATACAATCGATGTAAATATCATAAAGAAAATTTTTTTTGGCATGTTATAATGTATAATAAAATTTTATTTATTTATTTTAGTATATTCTCGAGACTACTGGTGCCCCCTCACTTACATATATTGGATTTTCACAAGGAACTGCGCAATCTTTTGCAGCCCTTTCAATTAGCCCAAAATTAAACAAAAAGGTCAATCTCTTTATTTCGTTGGCTCCTGCCACTAACCCAAAAGGTAAAGCAAAAATCATTATTTTTTCTTGAAATATATATTTTTTTCTATTGTAATTTTTCTCCCCCGATTTATGTAGGTTTGCAAAATCCTATTGTCGATGCTTTTATCAAAGCTTCGCCTAACATTGTATATCTTTTCTTTGGACGTAAGGCATTTTTGACGATGACAATGTTTTGGCAAAGAGTGTTATATCCGCCGATTTTCACCGAGCTTCTTGACAAGAGTATGAAATTTTTATTTGGTTGGAAAGGGATGAATATGACAAAAGAACAAAAGGCCGTATCATATTATCATCTATATAGTTTCACAAGCGTAAAAAGTTTAGTGGTAAATAAATGATTTAATGTTTTGATTGATTTAATCAATAATTTAAATAATAAACTAAATTTGTTTTTTTTTTTATTTAGCACTGGTTTCAAATTATAAGAGCGAGTAATTTTCAAATGTATGACGAATTACCACCGTATTTATCGATGGGACATAGTTGTCATAATTTTCCTACTAAACAAATTAAAACGCCCATTGGAGTATTTTATGGTGGAAGTGACAGTTTAGTTGATATTGGATTTCTCTTAAAACAATTGCCTGAACCTGTGTTTGTAAAAGAAGTTCAACCTTACGAACATTTGGGTAAGAAGATTCTTTAAAAAATGTTTAAGAAAAGTCATAAATTTGAAATGGAAGTTGAAATTTCTTTTTATTTTTTTTTTTTAGATTTTCTTTGGGCATCAGATGTGCACAAGACAGTTTTCCCTGAATTATTTGAATTATTGAATAAATACAATGTATATCATTGTAAACATGAAGATGAAATTGAAAATGAATATCAACATATTAATAATTGAAGGTAATATAAATTTTACATGATTAAATAAATTTTTTCATTATATGATAACGATTAATTCTAAAATTCCGAAAGCATATCTTTAACAGCAGCATAATATTGCTTTGAAACAAAATTTTCCATCTCTTGTTTTGTAACCCAAGCAAAGTCCACAATTTCCTCATTATCTACTTGTACTTGTCCCGCAAATATGTGAGCTTTCATAAAAAACACCTAAAAAAAAAAATTTATTATTATTATAAACAAAGTAGACATACAAGCATACTTTTTGATATTTTAATATATAAGTCATACCATGGCTCCTCTAGTTTCTATATCTTCCTTTACAAAACCTTTTGGATAGGTATATTTATAGTAACCAATCGGTCTTCTACCTACAAACCAAACATCCATCTTTTTACCACACTCCTCCTCTAATTCCCTATACGCAGCCTATTCATAAAATATATTATATATTAAGTATTAGATTATTTTGATTAATTAATTTAATAAATTAACAAAGATCTTACTTGAACTAACGTTTCTTTTTGGTTTACACCACCTTGAGGAAATTGCCAATCATGTTCAGCCCTTGGTTTTTTTACTATAAGATATAAAGTTCTTTGTAATGCTCTATCCAACGATTTTAAATCATTGCTTAAATCGGCTTGAGTTATTCTACTAGCAATTTTAATTTCTTCTTCCTCAACATCATAGCCTTTAAAAATACTTTCTTTCTCCTTATTATCTTCAGAATTGGTTTTATTATTCTTAAAACTGCTAAAAATTGCTAAAGCATTTTTTTTATTTTGTTCATCTCTTGCTTTCCATTTGGTTTCTGCTATACTACCTTTTTTAAAATAAAAATCTACCGGAAAGGGTGGTGAAAGTACCTGTTCCAACTTTTGTTGATACATATAATATTCTTTTTCAAATGGGTGTAAATCTCGAAGAATTTGTGGTGACCGTGTTAATACTATACCACTGACTATTCTATAATTTTTTTGTATAATTGGCCTCTTTTCTGATTGTTTTGATTTAATGGAAGAGTATATAGTCGATGATAAAGTGGGTTGGGTGGCCATTGTATATGTTCGTGTGAAATATGAATTTTGAATACGAGATATGCATGGTATAATTTGTCTTACTATAAAAGAGTTAGAAATTGTTAATCCTAATCATTGTATTCTATTTATTTTGTAATTTAATGTTCCCATTTAAATGAAGTGCATTACCAAACATCGAATTTGTTGACATTCTTCTTAACTTCCTAATACAAAAATTCCTCTTTTTTTTTTTTTTGGTTTTTTATGTTTTTTAGATGCTAAGCCACCCTGATCGATTGTGCTAATTCACGTGAAATTTTGATTTTTTACAAGTTTTTTTCGTGTCAATAACTTGATTTACCTGTTTGATCATTGATCATTGATTATTGATTACCGGATTTAAATAAAATAAAACAAACCAAAAGAAAAGCAACAACAACATACCCACTTCAATATTCTCCTCATATCATAATTTTGCTCTTTTATCAGCGACTGGTGTAGGTTAAGGCGATACCTACTTAAAATACGCGAGGGTCAAACTCTACAAGCGGATTTATCGCCAACTTTTTGTTCGAGTTGAATAAATTTCTCAGAGGTAGTCTTAGCTACTTAATTGTTGCAAAGTGAGATGCTTTAATATAAACTACACGTCTAATAATTATTTCTCACCAGTAACATGCCATCTGGAATTTGCCGTCAAAACGCGTTTTTTGAGGATGATTTCCCCGTTGCAGAAGAGGAAGCACGAACCTTTCGAGAATATCATGAAAGGATGGTAATGATGAACGAGCAATTGCAAGACAAAGGGTAAGAAGTTAATATATATTCTTTTTATGAAATTTACGCACATTTTGATACTTGTTTATTCATATAGTCCCGACAAGAATCATATTCAAGAGACAAGGCAAAATTATTTTGCGCGAGAGGTGTCCTTCTGGTTTTACCTGATTTATCAAATCTTGATCAATTTTTGGAATTGGAATTATTATCATTTAAAATGTTTTATGAGTAAGTTCAACAGAAGAAAGATTGCTCTTAAGTACAACAACATCGTCTATAAATGTAAAACTACCTGTCATTATTTCCTTGTGTTGATCATGGAAATGATTCAAGATTTATGGGAAAATTTTAAATTTAACTTGGAATTTCGTACACAAATATTCAGAATCATCTGGATCCCTTTTCTCCTTGATGTCATCGTTGAAGATTGGTTATCAAGAGTAAGTTAACTTTTTACTGATCTTTTAATCTGTATTTCTTTTGAATATCAAAATATCAATATTATGACATTACTGTTATTGTTGTGATTGTTAAATATAGGGTCGTGAATTTCTGATTGAAAGAATGGCAATTTTCAATTAAATTTGATTTTTTTTTCCCTCCTTTTGTATATTGTATATTTTATCGCTTTTGTACAACAATAGAAGAAATCTTTTTTTTTTTTATATATATTTATTTACATATTTATATGTTTTTTTTAAGGGTAAAAATTCATATAAATGTAATATATTCTCATCCACTAAAACCTTTCATTCTCTTTTAATTAGCAGTTAATAAATGACATAAAATATTAATTCTTAGAACGAATTTCTTTAATTCTTGTTTATATATATAAATATATATATATATATTGTTAAGAATTGAATTAAAGTTATTTCAACCCTTATATTATTTACGTTCTAGGATAGTTTTTTCTCTCTTTGATGGCGGCCAGTTTCAGATAATTTTATATTATTTTTTTTTTTTTTTTTATACTTGATGATAAGATAATTCACAAGTGGGTAAAGATATATATGTCGGAATTCATTAAAAACGAGAGAATGAAGAAGGATGTTGTATCAAAAACTGGAGATTGTAGTAGTAAGCAAAGATTGGAAACACAATGACAAGTGCAAATCAAACGTTCAACAAAGCAAGAGCATTCTGCTAGATGAGACAAAAGTTGTAGAATTGGGGCCATAATGAACCTTGATATTGGTTTGAGGTCGGTTAAGGTCGACATATTTATCGCCAAACACCACTTCTTTGGTCGATCCTACTGAGGGCTCGCAATTAAGCCATTCATATTTATTATCGCGTCAGAATTAATCACATTATTTTAACGGATAAAAAAAGTTGTAGATTTTTTTTATTCTTTATATATATATTTCTCTTTATAACTAATCAATAAAATGATTTTTGTGTGAAAAGTTTTATCGAATCACATTTAATGTAATAATTGAGAAACGAATCAATGATTCTTGAATTTATTAAACGTATATATAAAGTGGTTATGTCATACTTATAATATTAAATAAAAGCTAATCAGATATTACAGATTATTAATTCTTTGAAATGATTTCTGTAAAATACCAATAAACGCCCACAATATAATTTTTTTTTTAATCAAAGATTGGTATGTTGGCATATTCACCAGGATCATTGAATCTTAAATTACGATTCAAAGAAGATATTTTATGTAACTCTTCTTGAGTTAATTCAAAATCAAATAAATTTCTGTTTTCTAAAAGACGATCATGATTTGAAGATTTTGGTATAACAGCGATTTCACGTTGTATAGCCCATTTAAGTACGATCTAAAAAAAAAAAAAAAAAAAAAAAATCCAAAAATAAATTTATTCGTCTAGATGTAGAATGTTTAATAAAAGATAAGAAATATTTACGTTACCTGAGCAGGGGTTTTACCATAATTAGAAGATATCTCTTTAATAATTTGTTGTTCGAAAAGTTTTGGAGCATTGTTAGCATCACCAATATCTAAACCGATGTAACTTATATTACTAAAAGTAGAGTAACCCGTAATAGCCATGCCTTCTGATTTAGCATAATTTACAAGCCTTTCTTGAGTTAAATATGGGCTATGTTCCAGTTGTAAAACTGATGGCCTAATCCTAGCATATTTAAGGAGATCTTGAATTAATGCCGCGCAAGTATTTGAAATTCCAATATTCTAAAGTGAAATTATAATATACAAGATATGATGATAGGTAAGTTTTAACCATATTGTATTCACGTCTGATCGAATTTACTTATTACCTTGACTAAACCGGCATCCATCAATTCTTCCATAGCTTCCCAAGTTTCTCTAAATGGAACAGGTTCTTGTATAATAAGTTGTTTATCCGGTTCGTAAGACCATTCAGCAGGATATCTTACATTCGGATCAACATATTTCAAAGAAATTGGAAAATGTATCAAATATAAGTCCAAATATGTAAGACCAAGATCTTTTAGAGTACGTTCAACGGCTGGACGAACGTGTTCACGTTTATGATTCGTATTCCAAAGCTATAGTAAATTAAGAAGATGGATCGATTAGGTTAACGGGACACCTCATATTTTAGAGTACTGTCCGAAAAATTCGAGTGAAAAATTTACTTACTTTAGATGTAATGAAAATGTCCTAATATAGAGTAAAAAAAAAAATTTGGTTTTAGAAGTTGTCAAGAAAGTCAAGTTAGAATTTTGTTTATACATATCATACCTCACGTTTTACAATTCCCGCATCAAAGGCCTTTTTAATTCCTTCACCAACTTCTCTTTCATTTCCATAATCCGAAGCACTATCCAATAATCGATATCCTATTTTAATAGCTTCAAAAACTATCTCGGACGCTTTATCTTTTGGTACTTTCCATAAACCAAGACCAACCAGTGGCATTGGTTTTGGTTTTAGGTTAACGGTCGGATTCTGACTTGGGTTCATTTTTTGGGGGGAAGAAATCAATAGTGATTTTAATAGAATTTGAGAGGAATCGAGCCAATATATATTAATTTTTTTTTTTCCCACGGATCATACGTAGTCGGCATGTCATTATTAACTTTTATAGTGATGATTAGCAAAACTTGGGGAATATGTATGTAATAGTTATTTCACCAATGTCGCTAACCAATTATTTCACGTGATAAAAAAATTTGGACATGAAATGTTATTTAGTTGACAGCAATAATAGATAGCAAAGAAAAAATTAATATTAAGAATAATTTAGGTAGTAATGCGAAATAATATGACGCAGGAACTCGCATTATATGGCCTAGGATTCGCGTACTCCCTTCCTTGACAGCATGTTTTCGCTCTTACTTTTATTAATAAATATATCGCCCACATTGGCTTTATATTTTTTTTAATCACCATATGAAAAATAAAATGTTTCACAAATATCGTGTAGATATGATCACTCAGATATGTGGAGGGAGGGTATGGGTAGTAAATAAAATCACATCATTATCTGCCAATTCTAGAAATACTATTCGTGCGACTAAAAGTCTTTCACTTCCTAGCTTCTTCAATTCTCTCTTTAATTGCTTTAAATCTTGATGTCAATTCACTTGCAGTACTCAATTTTGGTTTGAATCTCTGGTATTTAAAATCTTGGTACGAGAGGAAAATACAAGTCCGAAGAAGGCATCAAAGTTTTCTTGATGAATTAGAATACAATCCTTAGGAATGCTTTCCAATTCCTCACTAAACCGCTGAGTTGTAATAAAAATTGTAATTATACGGTATTTGCTCAAAAGATCAGCAAGTTATGCCTCATTTTGTAATTTTCCTTTCTGCTCTTTACTCGCTTCGGCATATTTACTGATTTTTTTTGGTCTTGTCTCTCATTTTACTAGCAATATTCACATTTTTGTTATGCTCTTCTCCGGTTGTTTTCAAATCAAGGAAATTTTCATTGAATAGCAATAAGAATGGACTCGGGTTATTTGATAAAAAAAAGACATCTGCTGAATAACCATTGATCATCATGGAAATTGATGCTTTAATGTATAGACTTCAACAGGTTAGAAATTTATCAAGTCCATTGTAATATCGTTACTCTGTGAAACCACGAAAGAAATCCTTAAGTCTTAATGATTTATTCTTGTTATAGATGACTCCGAAACCTCCTCAAAATAATTTCGTCATACCCTTTTCTATGTTTTTAATATAGTTTCGACAGTTTCGGCTTTCGTCGTATCCCTTATTATGATTTTAATATAGTTTCGTCTGAGTTTAGACTATTATTAAGAGGTTTCGTCCTTCATCTATAATTCTTGTTTAACATATCAATCATAACGATGTATGATGCTATAAAGTCAGCAATAAATATTTCCAATTCACCCATGACCAATCTGCATCAGGTAAAAATGCTGACTAGTTTTTTTTTGAGAAAATGCCAAGGATATCTGCGTAAATATACAAGAAATATCAATTAGACTTTAAGGTAAAGATCTATATAAAGGAAACGGTCGCTTTCCAAGAAAGTTTTTTGTATGTAAAACGTCCAAGATCGTTTAATTAAAATTCCTACGCACACGTTCTGTTTCCAATTTCCTTAGTATCAAATGCTTATCACGCTTCAAATGTTCAAATTTTATAGTAGAGTCACCATCTTGCAGATCATTAGAAATATTTGATTTGATTTCCATAATATTTCTGTAAATAAGCTCGCATATGAGCATTTTATGATCGTTGGCATAAGCGCTGATTTTGTATGCATTATCAAGCTTGATTGAAATTTGGGTGTAAATTCTTGATGGGTTCTTTTTACTAAGACTTTCAAAAAATTCCTTAACATTTGTAAATTCTCGCCTATAAAAAGATACTCCAAGACACGTGGAAGACCACCTGTATCAAGAAGTAATTGATGTATCTAAATTTACGGTAATCAGAATAATCGTGATTCGTTGCAAATTCTCTCATGATATCAAGTCGTGCTCCAAGGACAGCAGTGGAAGATCAAGAGGTTTACAAGAATACATTATAGGTTCCATTGCTCGTATCGCGTCCTGAGCAGCTGAGAATAATATATTAGGAATTATTCCGGTCATATGATGCCCAAGAGCATACATTAACTGTTTTAATAATTTATCCTCATTTCGATCTTTGAAAATAAGCTGAAACTCATCAACTTGAAAAAAATGAAAAGATGCTGGCCAGATTGAATGATTTCCATATTTAAGGTTGTGAATGCAACAGAGGACTTCACTCAACAGGAAAAGTTGCTTATTTGAATTAGCTCTAGTACGGAAAATTCTAAAATCTATCACATTTTTGTCGACAATAGTGGTATGCCAACCGCAATCCAAGAATGTTTCTAATGCAATTTGCATATCTCCCTGAATTTCGAACTCTGTATCATCCATTCTTTATCGAGATTATTGAACAATTCAATAACGTGTTTTCCTGATTAATTAAAATTCGAATTGCTAATTAGAAGGCTCAAAGCCGCATTATCTGCTGTAAAAACATACCAGAGTATGGATTACGCCAGGTGCCCTACCAAATAGGAGGATTCGATAGTTTGTCTTTGCTGTGGTATTTGTAGCTTTTTGTTTATCCAAAATTTTCGTCAATCACATCAATAGCTTGCTTAAAGTTACGTTGTTTATGGTGGAATTGGGCTTAACATTGTCTACCATGATTGCCATATGAATTCCCTCCAAAATCTTTGTAATGGCGTCTTTAATCGATGTCACTATATTTTATGAAAACAAGAAAGCACAAATATTAACAAAAATGATGCGGTGCAAGTAAAAAAAAAAAATGAAGACACAAAATTCTGTAGTGCAATTGTCTAGTTTGTCCAGCGATGTATTTTTCGAACTACAAATGTCTTGTTCAAGAAAAAAAATCATTGGGAGACCAGTGTGGCGGTTGTACGATGATTTGGATTTTCCCCGTTGGAAGTTGATCACTAAAATAGTAGTTAAGCAGGAATTGAGGTTTCATTTTCTCGCCTCCAAGTTTTTGACAATATCTTCTTCGGTAGAAATATCTTCAACTCGACATTAACATTCCAAAGTTTCAGACCGGAAGAGTCGTTAGTAAGGTTTTAAGAATATATATTCCATTCCCAGATATACTTCTTGAAGAAATCAATTGTTAACGATTTTAAGAAGATTTCATCATCTCTAATAAAAACTTTTTCGCTAAGAAAGAAGCTCCATTACCCAGTACGAAACAATTTAAAATTGTTTTGGCTAAATATCTGCAATTGCGAACATCGAGAGTAAAAACAAGGTTCAAAAATTAATTTTACAGTAAAAAAAGAACGATTTAGCCCGAAAGATAAGGAATTTTTATTAAAAAGCATTTTCGTTTTATAATTTTATCTATGCAAAAAAAAATGCGACTATTCCAAATCTTACAACATTTGACGTTTCACCCAACGTTGTGAAACAAAAATCACATGGATCGATGAACTCGTATCAAGTGATCACAGAACTAAAAAATCAAAAAGAGGCCCTAATACCTTAGCAACTTATTATAATAAAACTTATGTTTTAGATCAAAATTCTACGAAAAGTTGATTTTCATGATCGCCTTTATGCATAACTTCCGATATAGGTATAATTATTATTTAAGAATATTGAAATTTAAAGTAAATGATCATAGGGTCATTCTAAATTTGACGTTTTACAATAGAATTCAATTAAATATCAATTGGTCTTATAACAACCTGCAAAAATTTCTAATTAACTAATAACGAAACTTTACAGACGTATACTTTGAAATGGTCTTTTTCGTTTGAACTCATATGATCCAATGTGATCCAATGTTTTAGCATAGTTATATAATGAGTATTTTTCTATCTTCGTGGTAATATTTAATTAAGGATAATTGTAAATTTAAAAATATTTTTGACTTTTAAACAATTACTGATAATAAAAAACAATTAAAAGTTTTTTTAAAAAAAAGAAAGGGCTTTTTAAGTAAAATTACTATTATTACAATAAAAATGGTTTATTTTATTATACAAAATTATTAATTTTTTTTTTTTTAATAGTTATAATTAGGATAGAATATTACCAAGTAATAACTTGGGTGAGTGTGTTCAAAATAATCATGTGTACTTCCTGGTTCTTGCTTATTTCTACTTCTTCAATAGTATCATTCTCTTCAGCTAAAGTATCTTCAATACCTTCATTTTCTTTTTCTTCAGATTTGCACAGTATTCTTGACGTCATATATTAAGTTTTTCAGTTATCGTTATATTTTGTTTTAGGTTTTGTCATATATTCAATTTCAGTTATATTTTGTTTTCAGATTTCTTTTTGATCTTTCATTTCATTTTTATTTGGTCCTTTTATTTTTGCTTGACTTTTGTTTTCATTCATTTGATTCTTATTTTCACTTCGATTTCTGATTTTAGTATATAAAAAAAATCTGCCATCTATCCTGTCAAATATTTCAACAAATTTAGTATGATTATCTATTTTATAACTTGACAATAAAAATTTCTTGCAAACATTTTCACAGATAATAAAATATTTTTTATTATTCAAGTTAAAAAACTTTTAATAAATTTATTGTAAAAATACATTTAATTTGAAATACTTGAAATGTAATGTATAATTATTATATTTTTCTGTTCTTTTGTTATATGCAAATTAAAAGTTCTTATTCTGAAACGATTATTTTCTAAGACAAATTCTTCCATTTCTATTTCTTAATTGTCAAAGGTAACATTTTTTCGATTTGACACCAATCTAAAGATATCAAAAACTGTGAACTTCCTTATATATAAACTCTGTGATTTTGATTTATTCTGTGATGGGCAGAATAGGACAATAAAACTAGGAATGGGATCCATTGTTAGTAAATCAATGTGTTACAAATTTTTAGTGTGCGAACAAATTTAATGTAACATACCGAAAAAAAAAAATAAGGGTATTTATCAGTTATACAGTATTTCACTGTATCTAAACTATAAATTTTTTTTTTTATGTTGACAAAAAAACTGAGTAAAGATTTGCATAACCCGTGAATTACAATGTGGCTACCAAAAAAAACGCCCGAAATATAAAATCTTGCAGTGTGTGGCTAGTTAAAAACTTGACAATGGCTAGTTAAGAAATTTTTTCTGCCACACAATTGACAGATTTTTTTGGTGTGAAACATCTATATGTTATATTAAGGATATTCTAAAATAGAACAAAAAAGAATATATAAACCCATCAAAAAATAATTTTCTAAAAATTTCAAATTATGCTTTTTAATTCAAGATAAAGCTATGGAACATAATAATCTTTCGCATAATCCGTTACAAATACCTGATCCTTTAGATGATTGGATTGAAGAGGCTATTTTTAAAAGTCATATTAAGCATTACGACTACAAGTCTTTTTGTAATTTTCGAAAGGTTGGATGCGGAGGTTTTGGAGAAGTCTATCGTGAGAATTGGAAAAGTTTACATAAAGATTTTGCATTGAAATCTTTTAACTCAAATATAGTCACAGTTGAAGAAATCGTTCACGAGGTAAATACTTTACAGAATATTTGTTATAACGATTTAATGCAATGGATCGAAAACACGTGATCATAAACGCAATTTTTAATTTTTTGTTTAATATTTATAATCTGATTCATTTTAAGATTAAACTTCAACGAGAAGTTGATTTTCATGATAATATTATTCGATTTTATGGCATAACTTCCGATCTAGATATATAATAATTACTATTGAAACTTTAAAAATTTAAAGTAAAAAATGTTGTAACTAAAGGTTAATTAGAAAATCAAAATGATCGTCCAAAGTATTTGTTAGTAATGGAATATGCTGATGGAGGTACTCTTCGAAACCATTTAAAGGAAATCTTTAATGAGCTTACCTGGAACGATAAATACGATTTGGCACTTCAATTGGCTAGTGCTGTATCATGCTTACATGATGAAAGAATTGTGCATCGTGATTTGGTAATAATTTTATGTTGCTTTTATTAAAAATATTAAAATATTAACAATTTTATATAAATAAATAGCACTCCAACAATATATTAGTTCATCGGAATTGTATAAAACTGGCGGATTTTGGATTATCAAAAAGAATCGAAGAAACTGAATCAGAAAAGGATTTTGGTATGATTCCCTATATTGACCCAAAAAAGTTTAACTCATTTCAATCATATATACTAAACAAAAAAAGTGATGTCTACGGTGTTGGTGTGCTTTTATGGGAGATATCAAGTGGACATGCTCCTTTTTATATTGAGGAATATGATTTCGACCTAATGAATAGTATTTCGAAAGGTCTCAGAGAAGAAATTATTCCTGATACTCCCGAAGATTATGTAAAAATTTATACTGGTAAATATATTTATTAAATTCAATTACAATTAGAAAAATATCTTTTTGACCATTCAATTAATTTTTAGAGTGTTGGGATAATGAACCAGATAATCGTCCAGATATGAGTAAAGTAGTTGAAGCGCTTGGTAAATTAAAAGCTATTACTACAAATACTAACCTTGCGGCAAATGAGCAAACTGGCGATTATAATTTAAATGTCCAATTATCGAAACAGCAACTTGATAATAAAAATTCTTCATCACATGCATTACATAGTGAATTATCTCAACTTATACAAAACTTTGATGAACTTCGATGTTATATATAGTCTAAATAGTTTATCAAATATAAATGAGTAATTATTAAAATTAGCAAAACTTTGTTCTAGAAAGTAAAAAGGAAGATGTTGAGGAATCACAGAACTTTAATTGATTTCAATTAATTTTCCTACGTAAGATACACTGTCGCACTTCTATTTTTTAGGTGGTTTATTTTATGATAAAACGTAACGTTCTTTTTAATGTTCTTATAGATAGATAAATAAGATTACAAAGTAATGATATGGCTCGTTTTGTAAAGTAGTATCATTCAAAGATACAAGCTTTAATACTACTTGTAACATGCAAATAAATTTTTATTACAATAAATATGGACGACATAATGTATTATTAAAAACAATCATTTTGCGTAACTTGGGGGGTTTTAACTGCGCCATTCGACATTGAAAATATACACCTTCTCAATTAAACTACTGTATGTTATTTTTTATTATTATCATGACATCATGATATTAATAAGTTAATCAATGAAAGAATAATCGATTTTGTTTTCAATGCAAATGGATGCGGGTTCTAGTACTTGATCTGATCATATGAACATTATTTACTTTTTTTCTCATAATGAGTATCCTACTATGCGTCATAAGGTTCTCGCATCCAGTGTAGATCAGATTATCCTTTGAGTTCAATTTGCATTATGGAAGTTGAAGGTTATCCTTTTGTATTTGGTTATTTATTTTGTTGAGAACCTGATTTTCATTGACGGATTGTAGTAGCCGGCTGTGTACCGGAATAATTAGTTATATAGAGGTGACACTGAATGTGAGTTCAAAAGTTTTACCGAAACACATTATAACCTTTTAATCTGAATGAAATTAAATTATTTTTATAATAATAAAATTAAAGAAAAACAAAAATATCTGTGCACAAAAAAAAATTTTTTTTTTTTTACCTATCATACGCGATAGTCTTTAATATTTTATATCGTATCACCTTGGTCTCTTCTCCTGAACGTGTCTAAGTGTTTAATGGATTTTTCTTTACTTTATTTTAAAGAATAATATTAAATTACGTATTGTTTTTTATTTTCGTGCCAAAACATAATTTTTTTTTTTGATCATCATCATAGATACCTCGGTAAAGTTATTTTAAAATAATTTTTTTTAGGAACATCAGATTATAATACAACAATAATTAAATTTCAGATTGATTTTCCTAGAAAACATCATTTATTTTTTATTATTATATTTAATTTATAATATGAAATTTGGTAAAAAATCAAAATTAATCAGATAAGCGATGGATTTGTTTTTGTTTATACATCCCGGTATGATTAACGCCCGCGTTGAATCCCATTGGCGTAACATTAACAAATAACAATTTCCTAATCAGCTGAATTCAATTGTTTCCTCCGTGATCCATATTTCGATCGATGTAATAAACAAAAAAACTTTTTAAATTTTACGCATGACAGATCCACTTACGTCATAAATTTCGGTACTTCCTTAAATCTTTATATAAATAAAAGAAAGTTTCCAACCCACGTTTTCAAATAAGACCCTTAATTTACAAAGGTCCAACTTTGCTGGATTTAAAACCAATTTTAATTTGCCAGATGTCGTTCAAATGGAAAATATTCCATTAAATAACAGTTATTTCTATCCATCAGCTGTCGTTTAAAACCTCCAAATAAAAGACTTTTCATCAAATAACAGCAATTTCTATCCACATACTGTCGTCCAAAACACTCAGTTTCCATCAAATATTAATGCTATGATTGATGCAGTACCTTACAATGATATCTTGTTCAACTCTAATGTTCCAACGTCGTATGGACAGCATATCGGTCCTACTAATTAGGAACAAACTCCACCATTGAACACCAATAATAACTCTTTGTTTAACGCTAATTCTCAATCAAATAATCCAGAAATCTTCAGATTTCACATTCCTGGTTTCAAAATTCTCGTCATACCTGATTTTGAAAATTTAAACATGAATAATACCTCTTATACTTCCGTGAATAATATCACAAATAACCCTCAAACGCAATTTCAACTACAAAACTTTCGTTGATATTAAATAGTAATCGTAATAGTAAAATTTCTCAACAATATCCTGTTGTACGTGAAAGTTCTTTTTTTTATACTGTATTTCTTATAATGGTAAAGAGAAAATCTCATAAATATGTATTGAATCGCATCTTACTGAAATCTCTCACAGATAAACTGTATCTATATATATTATCCAAATAAGCTATTATTTATCCAACGTTTAATTTATTTCATGATTTTATTTAAATTCTTATAAAACATGAATAACAAACAAGCTTTTGCATTCTTCACATTTTCATCTTCATCATCCGCCACGAGAAATACCTTGAGAAATTATTTTGTACGTCATATTGCCTTTATATTAAGTAAATTTACCGTTATAATGAATAAAATTTATTTTCCTATTTATTTTTTATAATAAATTTCGTTCGATATAGTGAGCTCTTAAATCAAATCTCATTATTGTGAACAAAGTGACTGGAGTCGAGAGTTCACTATAACGAGCTTTGACTGTATATAGGACTCAATTTTATCAAAATTCTCTTGATTCAAGGCAATATACGCTTCTATTTTAGATTTTTAGGATTTCCCATGTAGCATTATCAAATGAGGCTCTAGATACTTTCAAATTTTTATTAATGATATGGAAGAGAAAAATAAATGTAATGACATCAAGCTGAAGTTCATTTTCCCACCTCTCTTTATCAACAATCACTATTTTTTTTACAATGTTTCAACATCTCAAAGATTAAAGACTGAACTGTGATCTTTGAACGACTTAAATGGAATGTGAAAAGTATCATCTTCTAAATCATCATCAAATGCATAATCATACACTTGAATCCATGTCTATTAATAAATCAATAGGAATGATATTTACTCATTGATTCTATTGTAAAACAATATTCTAAGGTTACGGACGATTTATAAGTCGGAATAAATTAATATCATAACTGGATTTTTATCTGATTAAATAAAATACTTTTCAAAGAAATTAGTTGTCTAAAATTTAAAAATTTTTCTTTTGCATTTATTCCAAACTAACAACGATGTCAAACTCACCAAATGATTAGGGTATTCCTTTTCTGTTACATAATTTTTTTATTCTTTCATAGTTGGATGCTCAATGACTTCGATGACTTTCGTAGGTCCGTTCGTGCTCTTAAAGTATTGAAAGCGAAATGCTCCTTTATTATATTCGGTTTCCGGTATTTCTTTCGGAATTGTTCTTTACAACATAATGCTTTGATTTCTTTTACAACATACTTTGTGATATTGTTAGTGGTTTCATCAACTTTTATCCACCCTTTTATTATTCTCCCATTATTAAGTCTTCGCACCGATTTCTTTCACTAGAAGTCTAGCTTTTCTTTGATACTTGATGAGTTTTTTCAATGTAATTTTTTAATAGACTAGTCACGTTTTTTTTATTTTTACACATAAATGTGGCTTTTAAATGTGACTTGTAAACAAAGATATATTATTCTTGAATTTATACCAGATTTGGTAAATAACATTGACACGAGAGCTAATTTTAAATCTTCGCCATTAAACGAATACCACAAAAAAGGTGTCGTTAAAAAGCTAAATGGTTATGTTAAAAAAAAAAAAAAAAGGAAAGATGTAACAGTAAGTTTGTTATGCATCAATGCGTTATTTTTTGAATAATTATAAATGAACGATAACGATAAATATTTAGTGGAAATGATTTTCCGATTTTTCCGGAAAAACGGCTAACCTCAAAAACATTTTTTTTGATTCATTGATCTTTTTTTTCTAACAAGTTATCCTATTCTAGCCCTTTTATGATGATGTGGGTTTTCTTTTGTACTATATACCCCGGACATTTCCATTTGCATTTTGGTTACTAAAAAAGGAAAGTAATGAAAGAACGAAATGTGCATTATTTTACTAAATGAATATGTTTTTTTTGGCTAGTTTAAAAAGCTAAAATGTTTGAATTTCAATTTCACTCCGTTAAAAAAAATCTATTTATATTTCTTTTCTCCGGAAATCTTTTTGAAAATTTTTTTTCTTTCTTTATTGATAAGCAGTGTAATAAAGTAAACTGCAAGTATCTTAAGGAAACAAGTCTTTTTTTGGTAAATTTTCGTCATTGATATTCATTTTGAATGTATGAATGTTGAATTAGATCGTTCCGAATTTTTTTTTTTCCTTCATCATTATATAAACCACGAAAAAAGAATGTCCCCTCCCCACAGAAAACACTCTCACGGGTATTTTGCTGTGCAAGTTAGCAAAGTAAACCGTCCAGTAACCTTAGTAATAGTTCATCGCAACAAAGATAATACCAGTTAAGAAACGTTGAATGCCAAAGAAGAAATAAAGTGAATGTTCTCTTATTTGATCCCCCTACACCCCGTTTTTTTGATAAAAAATAAAATTTTTATATTTCGTTTTTTTGTAATCTCGCATTTTAACAATCCTACTTGGTAACAGCAGGTTACGGAAAAATTTCACACACTTACATAAACCATTTCTTTTTCCTGAGAGAAAGTCATAATAACATCAAGATACCCCCCCCCATTTCAAAAAGTTATCAAGAACATCAAGAGCATCAAGATGGTTCTACATAAAATAAAATTTCCCCGTCCGTTTTGCTAACAAATGAAGAAGGGTTATCTTAAATCAAAATTGCTAAAGATTATCATTTATAAAAAAAAAAAAATCAAAACCAAAACAAAGTTATCGGTACATCATTGAATATTTTTTTTTATTATTCGTGTGTTCTGATGACATTCTTTAAATGTAAATACAGTATTGACCGTAGTTTAGAAATCTACTGGGAACGTTATCTTTTAATTTATGTTATGGTTAAAGGTATGGGAAAGTTAACTTTATAAAATACATTAAATAGTAGTAATATAAATATTAAAATAAACTATTGAAATTTTGCAAATGTAAACTCAAATATTTAGAAAGTTTTGTCTTTTACACACATATTTATATAAAAAAAAAATAAAACAAAATAAAATAAAAATGATTGATTACTCATATTCAAATTTTCTTGTATGAGTTTTTAACCCACTTTTGATTCACGATTGTTATGGATCATATTATTCACAATGAATTCTTTAAAAAAAAAAAAAAAAAAAAATATTGAGAAAGAGAAAGTCATGTTCCACCAACAAACATATTGTATGCTATGTAAATTCACAAGGAATGAAAGCATGTCACACTATTCAATAACGCATAATTATCGTGGGAGAATTAACCAAATTTGAGAAAGGAATTTATAGATGTGATACAAATGAAAATTGGATCGAGATTACACCTTTTCTCTAAAAGGTATAAATCACAAACATCCTTTCAAAAAAATCCTCTTTTTAGATATTTAACAAAGAATAATTAAATTATTAATGTATAAAAAAAAAAATAAAAAAAAAAAAAAGAAAGAAAATGGGGTTAGTACTGGGAAAAAGAACCAAATTGAAAGATTTATCAAAAAAAAATGTTACAATTTGGTTCCTTTTCTCGGCACTCACCCTATATTTGAACAACTCTTTTTTTTTTTTAAAAAGAAAAAAAAATTGGGGGAAGGGAGGTTCAAAAATTTTTTCTTGATCTTCGACCGTCATATGCATGTCAAGATTAACTAACGATTTAAAAGATACTTGATTTCCATTTTGCGATCACGATTCAAAATATAGTTGATTGAAAGTTTAGGGTATCGCCGAGGTATTGCTAAAGTTACAGGATCCGCGTTATTTCTAGCATTTAGCGTAAGTGATCATTTTGATACGAGTTAAGTAATTGATAAACGACGCATTGTCATATTCATGTAAACAAAAAAGAAACCATACATTTGACGGTTCCTAAGAGGTTGAAGATTTCGTTGAACACGTAGATTTCTATTTCTACGAGGTATTTGCGCTTCTGCAAAATTTAAAAATTTATTTTAAAATCAATCAGAAGCATATAAAAAACATATAACATAAAGTTGATAACGTATTTTTACCATTAAGCGCATAATAACTTATTTGCGAAAAGGAAAATTTTTTCTTTTTATGTAAATATTTCGAAAAAAAAAATTTTTGGAAAAAAAAAAAAAAAAAAAAAAATGAGCGAAAATAAAATAAATGCGTGTATTACTGTTTTCTGCATTCTGAAGGGGTTCTTCCGAGTTCAAATGCGATCAGATCCCACCTTTTAGTATTGACGAACTCGGAAAGTTTTCCTTCTTCCTGAAGAGAAGAAAAAAAAAAAAAAAAAGGTTAAAAAAACAACGGTAAAAAAAAATTGATCATGTAGAAATATACAGTACGTACACTAATAGACCATGGCCTACCCATATTGATTTTTTTTTTGCTTTTGAGAGTATAAAAAAAAAAAAAAGATGAGCCTCAAAATATGTTGCCCTTTTATTTTTTTTTTTCCTAAATAGCCTATGCTTTTTTTTGATAAATTCTTATTTCTGGCGTAACGATGATGAATTATGGCCTCGGTGGTAGTGTTATAAACATTGCATTATAATAAATTTATTAATAAATTTTAGGATTATCATAATGATTTCCCAAACGTTCAACCTATGATATCATGATGTAAAAAAAAAATGATGAAATATAAATTTTGTCGGGTCAAAAAATTTGGTTTAAAAAATAATGAAAGTAATGTGATATTTATCATTATAGCATTTTTTTGTCCTGCAATGAAAAAAAAATATATATAAATTAGAATGTTTCAAATCAAAAATAACAATAATCAATTGCTTGCTTATTTGTTAATTACATCATAATGATTAAATTTTTTTTTTTTGAAAATCTTTCCAGTAATGAGTTATCGAACTTGAACTTTTTGATATCGATTTTTGAATTTCTGTGTATTTGAAGTCCAATCAAATGATACTTACGGAGAAACCCGGTTCATCATAAGCACCCTCATTCTTCGAAAGGAAAAAATCAATTATAATCCCAATTTGTACATATCAATGCATTATTCAAAATAAACAAATTTAACTAATAGCTATTCCTCGTTTTGACATTACATGTGATCATTATATTTACCTCAAACACCACATTTTCCCTGGATGTCTTCATATTGTTTGATAATCATTCTTTTACGTTCATTGTTGCGGTACAAAACCTCGTGTAAAGTTCATGCATTTTATAAAAAATCGTTTTAACAAAATTTATAAATTTGGTAAACGATTTTTATATGTATAAAAGGATTTTTTCGGTTTAAACGAAGAATTTATTAAGTGATCGAATTCGTTATATAACTGTACCAATATAAAAAAAGTTCCTTATTTCTTTATTAAAATATTACAAATTTTCTTTTTTTTTTTACAAGTTTGGAATTTAGAATTGAATTCTATCCCATAAAATTTATTACAATATTAATTAAATTTCCCATTTAGAGATTTTAAAGCGGTAAACGCTCTGCCAGGTATATCATTTTGAATGGTTTCTACACAACCTTTCGTACCATTATCTTTACAAGCACCAACGATGAATAAAGTTTTACCATCTTTACCACCAAAATCCAAATTGGTAGGTTTTTGAATAGAGGTTAAATTAATCTTGGATAAAATTTTTCCTAGAGGGCAAAGCACGGTGACGTGACTTCCATCATGTCTTGTGACATACAAATTCCCATCAATGTCGGTCCTCATGCCATCAATATCAATCGCTTGAGTACCATCTAATTTTTCAAAATCCACGAAAAGTACTTGATTAGATACTTTTCCCGTACGTTTATCAATGTCAAATTTCCAAATCTTATTGGACACCACTTTGGAATCTTTATTTAAAGTTTCCGAAATATATAAGTTGCTTTCATCAGGTGACACTTCTATACCATTCGTTCGTCCAAATGGTAGGTGCTCAATCAATTTACCACTTTTACCATCACAAACCCATAAACCCCCATCACCAATGACGGTATTCGCGGTAATATTTTGTCCCGAGATATATATTCGATTAGTTTTGTAAGTATACGCTAAATCATTTGGTAACGATAACGTTTGATCCTTACAGATGGCACTTTGTTTAACGTAACCATCTTTTTGTACAACGATTTTCGTAATTTGATCCTCATTTACATTGGTCAATAATGCTACCCCCTTTATACCTTGATTCAC